CAATGCATACGAGTGTAAGATACGATTATATTTATTTATATCCATTGTGCGTTACTATTTAATTTTTTATTCTGAATTTTCATTTTCAAATATTTATTCCCGTTTTTAATATTTGTTCTATTGTGCGTAGAGTTTTGAAGTTTCATATGATACTGTTTTTGCGAAGAATATCGAAGAATATGTCTCGTTTTGATTTGTTTGAGAAGATCTCTCTTGTGTATGCCCTATATATACGTGAAAACTTACATAGTCACCGCTACGCGTTCCGAAATGAAATAGAACGAGAGACTCGCGAGATACTCCACCACGCGCTTGCAGGGTCAAGAACGGAGTAAACGTTTCTGCGTTCTTAGAAATATGACATTATATAACATTAATATAACATTAATATAACATTAATATAACATTAATATAACATTAATATAAAATAATATAATAAAATAATATAACATTAATTAACACGGGAATACGTGATACGCCCAAGATTGTACTGTGGAAAGCGTAAATCGAGTGACACGTGCTCTTTTCTATCCGTTCTTATCCGCGAAACGTGATTTATCGAGAGCGTATAATTACGTATGTATATACGTTCTGTTACGCCACAGCGTAATTTTCCCAGCGTGATAGGTGCCTGAAGAAAGAATCGCGAGACTGAGTCGAGGCACTTGCACCAACGTGCTCGCTAGTTTGCGCACGTTGGGCGACCTCGAGATAACATCGCGATGAACTGACTGACATTGCCGCTATATTTGCGCGCATAGGTAATGAGCGGTTTAACAGACGATGACGACGATTTCGTATCACTGAAATAAGACACATTCTCCCTCGATTCGCTTCAGCAATTCCAAAGCAACTGACTTCCACGTGCATATATATATATATATTTGTAGCCTTTTTTTGTTGATAAAATGTGTTATTACATCTATCTATCTATCTGTGAAAGTAAAGTTTCTTGCAATGTTTATGCCGAAATCGAGAATAAGTAATGCAATAATTGAATCCAATTTAACGCGAGGAATCTGTTCTCCAATCTAATCTAGAATCATGATCCGTTACAGTTGTGTGAAAATGACTGTGAAAAGGAACATTGCAAAGGAGTATATTAGCTCTTTAGTAGTAATAGCATTTTCGAAAGATATAGGTTTAAATAATTCGAAAACTTCATTCTTTTTCATTAGATATTACACAAAAATATAATTTAAATATTAAAAAAGTATAATTTTAGGTATCTGAAAAAAATTAAAATAAGTAGCAAGTTAAGAATAATAATAATAATGATGATGATAATTAATAATTGATTTGGTTAAGTTAATAGCTAATAATTAATAGTTAAGTTAATTAATAGTTAATAATTAATAGTTATGTTCAATAAAAACTCTAATTCTGAAATTCTAAAATTTTTGAAAAAATTTGGTTTAAAATAGTAGAATAGTAAATAAAAAATTGTGATTATAATTAATAATACAGTGAATTATCTTGCTTGAAATTATCTTGATACAGAAGTGTTAAACCAGTTGCAGAGTTTCAGGCACAAGTTGCGTTACTTTTATTGAGCAAAGACCAATAATATGCTTTCCTTATTCAGTAAATAGAATTTTTTATCTTTTTAATTTTGGATTTTTTAAATCTAAGATTTAAGTCCGAATAAAAAAATCTTTAAAAATTTAATATTTTGTTTTCAATATATTAAAATGAAGAAAAAGAAACATCGAAATTTTGTACATCTATGGCGAGCGAACATGCAGTTGTTCCGTCTACTTAACCTGACAGGTTAAGTAGACTATTTTTATTACAAACATATTTATTAAATTGAAAAAAATTCAAAATTGAAAAGTTCAAATTGAGGATGATTTTACGGATAAAAAATACGCATGCGGTCAAATTAGTTTCGGAACACACGCAACATCCACATACGCAATGTTTGATTTTGTGTTTGAGTTACAAATATTATTGATAAATGTTGTAGGTTTGGTAAGTATAGGCTTTCAATAAAGCCAGTACGACTTACAACAACATCTCGTAGAGTTTAAATAAAAATCGAGAACTCAAATTCTTTTACAATGATATAAAAATCATGAAGGTTAATTTCAATACATATTTTTTAATTATATACATTACAATAATTATAAATTTGTCTAAATTATATATTTTTATATATATTTTAATTAATTAAATTATTTATAAATAAAACTTTATGTGTGATATATATATCATAAAAAAATATATCAAGGACTTTACATTCGTGCATTGAAATCTCGACACTAATTTCAAATGAAATATTACATCATTTTCTCAAGGTCGGTAGCACTCGGAACTGGCTGAAATGGGATCGGCAGCTGGAGAAGATCTCAAATTTCTCTGTTTTGCAATTCGACAATTTAGAAATGAACAATATCGACTGGCTTAAGACGAGTTAGCACTCTATCCTATATACTCGATATAAAAACATATTTCCTATCATGTATTATACTGATATTTTCTTAGAAATATTTTTGTCATAAAAGTAAGAGTTAAATATGTAAAATTTCTCTAGTTTTATCATGGATTGATGTTACTCGGTTTATCATCGATCGCGTTTTGCTTTTCGCATACGTGGCTAACATATACACGCTAGTGACACGAAACCGGCAGAATCTGCTTATCTTTTGGATGGTGCTCAGCTTTCTTGAAAACATCGTTTTAGAAATCGTCGTGATTGTCATCACTTTCTTGCTGTGGCACAAGAAAAGCGACGTCTCGACGTCGCGCCTCGTTGAGTTTATCGCGGAAAAAACGATATGTCTAGGTAAGTGAACGGAAATGGAATTAATCAGGGACACAATTCTAGCACGCTTCTAGGCATGAAGAATATTCTTATTTAAATGAGTTCTCTATTAAAAAAAAAAAATTGTTGTTATCGTTGCAGTGTTCTCGATTTACAAGTGGTGCATGACCCTCAAGTGGTACATGCAGCTGCGGACGCTAAAAAAAATCCACAGATTTACGATGATCGCACGGAGAAGTATCGCGACTATCACCAATGTTCCCGGTAGAGTCGGTCGCTCTTTGGATGACGAGTGTCTCGGAGCAGCGATAGTTAGACGAGGCAAATACGCAAGTTTGTTGAATCTGGACAGATTCTCCGCGGAGTCGCCCAGCAGAGCGTACTTCAAGTCCTTGACGACTCTGATCACCGATGACATTCGCGATCCGAACGATGTGAACGATTACGATTCGGACGCCAACGATTTGAGCGTGGCTGAAAAGTCAATGAAGATGTTGAACGTAACCGCGGAGGATGTGATGGATGCGCGTGCGAGGATACAGGAACGATTCTATTGGGAGGAGCAAGGCGCGAAGACACCTGAAGCAATAGAAGAAGTAATGGCACAGTTTTCTTTGGGAAAGGATAGAGAAGAAATGATTGATTCATCGGAAAATGAAAAAATGGCAAAAAATGACTTAAAAAAACTCACGTTTTGAGGGAGGAAGACATTAAAGGATCGGATAATCATCTTCCGATGATGAAAGAAGAACAAAAGGATGACAAAATTGTCTCAGTTGACAAAAAGAAACAGATTTTGATTGGAAATCAGAAAAATGTTCCATTGATAAAAAAAGAAGTCGATATCGATAAAGTAGATGATCATACAAAATTAACAGAATCTTATGGGACACAAAAGGAAGAAAGTAAGAAGATAAAAGGAGTCGCAAAAGTTGTGCAATGTCCTTCATTTCAGAGTAAGAACGCGAGAAATATGGAGATAAAGCCATGTGCCTCTCTAATAAGAAAATTAGAAGAGAAGCTCTGTTCCATTCCTGTAAATCAGCAAGAGAAATGGATCGATCGAGTTGATCGGAGGAAACATCCTTACCAAGTTAACATGCTATTAACGCCAGCTTTAAGCGCAAATAAGAAGGAGCGTCACAAAGATTCGAAAATATCATGTACGTGCCATCGTGCCTTGCGCAACGCTTCGGGAAACGGGAAACACGCGCGATCAATTGAGATTAATGGTAGAAATGTTGAATACGATATTAATAAGAAGGAATTTAGGTCCTTTACACCTATCGTCAATACGCGGAGGAGCAGAGTTGAGAAATCAACGCTCAAATATTCAGAAGCGTACCGTTTAAAGAAGCAAATCCAGAAATGTGAGGAAGCTCGCGGGAAGCAATCGATTACCTGGGAAAGTAAGTCTTCAGCTCAAACTGCACATCCCTCGGGATACGCGAGGGACGTCCTCGATGGATCTGATAAATTGTCCGTTTATAGAAAGAGCGTTCAGACTGAAACGACTTGTAATGAGTCGAGCGATTATTTGACGACGCAATATAGGTTGAGACGTGAACAGGTGCGAAGTAGACGATCGGTCTTGCGTTCCATGGCATCGTTTAGAGAAAAAAATTACGCGGAATGTAAGGCGCACGAGACAGAGGTGAAAGCTTTAGAGACCTGCGATAATTTTAGATTGGGGGAAATTAAAGGAGAGACGAAAGCGAGAAAAGGCCGCGATCCGCTGCCGGCGAATCGCAAACTGTCGATCGAGGAACGCGAAGCGATAGAACTGAGAGCTTTAAGGGCCTACAACGAGCTTACTTTGTTGGAAGATAAGAGACAGTTGGAAGAGAGAAAGGAGCGCGATTCTTCGCTGAATTACGAACGATTAACGCGGAAGTCCGAGACGGAAGTCCGAGAGAATCCGAAAGGATCGGAGACGAAAGTTCTAAAAACTTACAATAATCTTACCTTGGAAGATGAAAAAGGGGCGGGAAGAGTGGGAGGGTACAATTTGTCGCCGAGTAACAAACGATCGGTCGACGAGCCGAGTACTTTGAGAGTTCGTAACGAGCTTGTACAGTCGGCGAGCGAGAGAGAGTTGCAGACTGCTGGGAGAAAACGCGATTCATCGAGAGACGAAACGCATTCGGAATACGAGGAGCATGTCGAAACTCCAGCGAGTACCTCTAATCGTCTTTCGATAGCCAGCCACGAGAGTACCGCGATTCGCTCGTCCGGAACAACACGTCGGAACAGCAGCTTCGGTCTGAACGATCGTTGCGCAAGACAGACGCGTATGTCACTGAACCTCAGGGAGATCACGAGGAACATCGAGTGGACCCTTCATCCGGGAGGTATCGTACTCACCAACAAGAACCTGTACGGATGCCAATTCTTGGAGAACGAGAGATTTCGAGGGAGCCATGAGCGCGACATTGTCGATGACAACACCGCTAGCATGTTGCACAGCGCTTTCTTCTTCAAACCCGAGATCATCCGGCGAATTTTCCGACGCGATCAAACGAGAATCGGCGAGTCCCTCCCGAGCTTTCCGACATCCCTTCGGATGGACCTCGACGCGGGCTTCGTCTGTCGGATGAATAACGAGATGATTGTACGCGATAGGAACTCATTGTTCAATTACAGTCTCGAGCGAATGATGGGAAACGATCGAAACGGTCGCGATTTAATGCTTCCCAACGTTAATGGCGATACTGAAGGCGATATTGAATATGGCTACGACCTATGTATAATATTCATTGATCAAGAGCAGACACCAAGCGAGGAAACTGTGATAGAGGATTCGGCTGTTGAATCTCAGGAAGACGCACACTCCACTATTGAAAATCCAACGACGAATATTATATTTGACGGAAATTACAATCGCATAGATAACGCGATCAATAATAATATGCCAATTCAATCGATTAGCGATGAATTAAAAAACTTTGAAATGTCGGAAAGAAGTATACCCAATGATGAAGAAAATAATAACGTCGATCGTGATAAAAGTTTGTCGCATATAAATGCGGATAATGTAATCTATGAAATTGAACCAATTTTAGATTCAAATGATAATTGTTCAGATAATGTAAATGTTACAACATATGTTAATTCGGTAGAAAAATTAAATATTTTGAAAGATAAAGATGAAATTTGCGAGAATAATTTAGCCTTCAAAAGTAATGCTGACAATGCCACATCGCAATTATTAGATAACAACGACAGCAATAATAATGGACAATTAGATTCGTTTGTTAATAAAACTGAAAAAAATATGTTTAATAATATTTTTAAGAATTTTTCGACATTATCTTTATCCGATCCATCGTCCGATCCACTTATCGAGTCAGATAATTGTCATACATTAAGATTAAATGATGAAGAGCTTCAAAAAGTGACACAATCTTCAGATAGTGAAGTTACATTGAAAGAACAAAAAAACAAATCAATATTAGATTCAAAAATTACGAATTACGATACAATTTCTCAATTTCAAGATGTTGAAACTTTAAGATTAGAAACCACAATGCAAGACGTAAAGAGTAAAACTGAAGATAGAAATGTTTATGAGGAGGCAGATGTAATTTTGCCGGAAAAAGTATTCAAGATGCATTCAGACGATAAACTTGAGCGAGATGATAGTTTTTATTTCACGTATAAGAAAGATGATGATCTAGGAACGCCGATTTCATTAGAGGAAGGCAGTTTGATGGAGGAATTTTTAAGTGATTCCGAATCTCTGGGTACGCCTTCCAATCTTTATTGTGCACATTCTCAAGTATAAAAACTGTTTGTGTATTATATAAATATCAAATCTTGAAATAATTTAACATTGTATAATTTATCCAAAGATTACTTTACATGATATAAAAAAAATTATATTAATAAATAATTACAAATTTACATAATTTTTCTAATTTTCATTATTAATTACAAATGCACATGTTTTATGATTTATTAATTTATACATTAGTTCTAAAATAATTTTTTTTGTTGTAACAATATTCAAAAAAATTATTGATAAATTTATGAAGTTATCGTAAATCAATATTACACGCGATATAATAAATTCCAAATTTTCTATTGTAATATTACGACTTTATATATCTAAAAAAAGTTTTATACAAATACTGTTGTGTATGTACAGAATATGTTTATACTAAAAAATTTACACATGATAGTCTAATCATTGGTAACTCAGAAGATTGCACTGTTATAACAATATTTAAATAATATTCTTGTGCTAAACAATACATATTTAATATTATACAAATATGTTTACTAAATTATTTAATTTATCATATTTTATAATCGGAGATAATTAGGAGTGTAATAAATAAATGGAATAAATTAAAAAGAAAAAGATTTTCCTGAACAACTCAATGTTCAATATTTTAATGTTGGAGATTCCAATGTTTAGACTTTAAAATAGAGGCTTTTTGATATCGAAGAGAGAAATCTGATGAATTAAAGTATTAATTTAACACGGCGAAGCCGTGTGAGTGCGAATTTTTCAGCAAGTATCGTCGAGGCCAGGATCCGTGTTAGGAACTACATAATTAGGATCGCAGACGGTATCCCTAACAGCTTCCTTAACGTTCGCCTTGAACACCCTATAATTAATATTCCCACTATTCAGCGTCCCGTATAAATACATCGGCAATCGATTTGAGAGCAGCCACACACTTTGATCCGGCTCGTGGTCCACTTTAATATCGTTCGGGAACACCAAGGACTCGTTGCTAGTCCCAATCACTCTCAGATTCTGCGGTATATACTCCTTTCTGGTGTCCCAGCACCATACGGAGTCTCTGGTGACCATGTTGAAGAACATGATGCCGTTCCTGTCGATGGCGGACCCGGAGGAGTGGCCATAGTCCTTGGCTCTTGGTTTCCCGACGGGCATGAATTTCTCCATGTTATAATCCGCGGTTTGCTTATCCCTGAAGATCGATGTGGACACGGCGAACTCTCGGAAGCTGGACATCGGATGGAAAAATAGCGTTCTGTCGTCGTGAACATCCAGGGGGCTTAGCGCTATTCCGAACAGTCCGTCGGTCCACTGGAACTTTATACCATGCAACTCGTACCTGGCTGCCAGGGGGTCAGGATAGAAAAAGGGATGCTCTACCCTGAAGGTGGAGTCCTTGAAGAAATCGTACACCACGATACCGTATCGCCAAACGTCAGCCAAATAGGCCACCGCGGAGCCGCAATCGTTTCTGATATCCACCGCGATGTTGATATATAGAGAGTCCTGCTTGATCTGTTCGTCCGGCAAGGTATACTTTCTGATCAGGGTGTCGGTGCGAAGATCGAAGATGAATATGGCGGGCGGACAGACCTGCTTGGATCTTTTGGCGAGTTCCGTTTTGCCAGAGTCAAGGACCCACAACCGATCGCATTCATCTACCTGAACTCGAAAGACTGACGTTAAACTCGCGCAGTTTCCTGAAACGAGACAGAATGAGCAGATAAGGCGAATCTGTAGATAACATTTAGATAGAATTAGATTAGATTTCGCGGAAAATTCTCGTGTATCTTTAGCAATATATGTTTTTTCAAATTGATTTTATAATTTTTTTTTTACTTTTCTATTATTTATTTCTATTTGTTTGTAGTTTACTGATTTGTTCTCTCTTTTACGTGACGTTATAAATTAAATAGATCTTAATGCCTTGTTTCTCTCGTCAAACAGGAAATGCTGAGATGAGTTCGTTCGTTATCGCAGATAATTCGTGAGAAATCCATTTACTTGGTTTCCGCGCTTTCCCGATTGCGTGAAAATAATATTATTGTTTCTTATATTCCCAGATATTTTACATCTTAATGACTTAATTTACCGTTCTCGCATGTGCGCAAGTAGTTTTTCTTATCGGAATTTAAACTGTAATCTAAAACTGTGCTTAGATTCTTAAATAAAAGCATTTTTTCTAAATTTTTAATGAATATTTTAAATCACTTTTATCTTTTAGTTAAATTTGAATTTATAAAATAATATTCAGCGGAAGCAATTTATAAAATAATATTCAATAATATTCAAAATAATATTAATCATATTTGAAAGACTCTATTAACTTTACGGCGTTGAGCGCTAAGATAATTATTATGATAATTTACTATCAAGAGCCACATGCATATTTAAGGTCTCAAAATAAGATCTTGAAGAAAAAAAACGATAGAGAATTAACATAAATATAACCTGGCTGATGCCAGTGCCAGTTAGGGTACGGTTTTAATTTCGGGCTCTTTGTCTTAGAATGTCTGGGCACAGTAGCCAGAGTCGCCGGCATGCCAGCCTTCCATTTTGGCAGAGTGATGAAGACTTTATCACGCCAAACGTCCAGGCCCAAGGGCAAGTTATTCTCCGCGATATAATCGCCCTCAAATATAGCGTTGTCTCGCGCATCGATGCTGTCGAACTCGAAGTCAATCGTGGACCAAGCGTATACCTATTAAAAATGGCGATCCGTAAAGTACTTATTAAATAGTACTTATTAAATAATTCGTACAGTACATACATCAGGCATCTCAAATTGATTGAGAATTGATGCAAATTATTATTAGCAAACATCATTTCAATTCCATGAAACAATTTTCTATAATGGGAACCCGGGAAATCTTATAATCATAATATGTGCAATAAATTAAATGTGACATTTAAATACGACATATAAAAAGGCTTACATAAAATTACTGATAAAAATAATTAATAAAAATGATTATTTCTACATAAATAAAATTCTGCCTGTTAACATAAATTATTCATTATTTAAATTACATTGAATCATTCGAGTGGATCTTTTTGCTATCGATATCAAAAAATTGCCAATAAAGATATTGCGAAATCTTGAACACTTTCGTCTAAATTTGCAACAAAAAGTTCCACGTACTAATTCCATAGCGGGACCGACGTAATCATCGATGATGCGTCCCGGCTCGAAACCGTCGCCGAAGTTATTGAAGTCCAATTGATTAATCAAGTGAGGATCAGTTTGGAATATACTGATAGCTCTCCCAATAGGTCTCGAAGGATCGCTTCTTCCTAGATTGGATGTAAGAACGCGATGCGGCGTCGATCCGTAAAGATTGCCCATGTTCGTCGATTTTTCCTCCGGCGGATTTCCGTGATTATCGCAATTCCGTGCCGTGCCGGCGTGTTCATCATAAGTACCTTTGTAATTGATATTCTATCGATGCACGACAAAATTTGAGATGAATTATTATTTTAAACTAACAATTCAATCTGTGTAACTTGTAAAAATATAAATGGTACTTGTCGTAAATAAATGGCCAAAAATATCTAATATCTCTTTCTATCTAATATATTTCATATTAGAAAATTTTAAGAAAAAAAATAGTAGAGTTTAATAATTTATAATTGACATTAAAATTATCTACGGGTGGTCTTTACATGCGTCGAAAATAATTGTGGAGTGGAAACGGATGGAGTCAATGGCAACGCGGGTGCTTGAAGTTTCCTGGACAGAAAAGTGGGACCCGTATAAGCCGCAAATTTTGGGTCAGCCAAGAGCGACATTGACAGCAACCATGGTATCATGCTCGTCATACCTACGAATAAAAAATTAGAATGTTCCTCTTGTGTAGTGAGATCTACATTAACGTCAGATTACGTCAAATTATTTATCGCGTCGTTATACGATTGCATTTTGTCGCGAGTCAATAAGGAGGATTATAAGATTAAATGGAAATGACTGAAAGGACGAGGCATTAAATGTTCTCAAGTACGATTATGGAAACGCAGTGAGATTTTCGCAGCGTCACATAGCCGACAACATGGTAATGTTATCTCCTTTATTGAGGTAAGTGGGTCTCACCGTTCGCGAGGCAAATCATCGGTATTCGATGGGGGCACCGCGTGCACGATTAACTGTTAATCGTCTGTCAGCACGTGATATATGATGCATAACGTACGAAAGCGCCACGTTATTC